TAATAATACTGTGCCTGAAACTCATGAATCAAAGTATTTTTAGTTGAAATATTCAAATATTGTTAATAGACCAATTGTTTTTATTCATATCCAACTGCTTTTTCGTCAAATATGGCAAAACCATTCTTAACAGTCAGTTTTAAACTTAATTTAATTCTTCAAAATCCTCTAATGAAACAAAAATTTGGAGTTTTATGACCTGGAGTGGGTTCTCAACCCCAGCTTGCTGTAGATAAAACCTTAAAGTACCTGTGATGTAAAATGTTTGTAAGAAATATGAATGCTTTTTTGGAAAGACAACATTATTAACATATTAGAAAACAAATTTCACGTTGCTCAGATGAACAGTTGTTGAGATATTTGCATGTGAAATAACAGGAAGTGATGTCAAAAGGGAACATCTGAATGGGAATACTTTAAGAATAAATAAATGTTACCAATTATTTTAATATTTTATTTGAATTACAGTCATCCTACTTATATGTAAACATTTTTAAGACTTCTGAAGATTGATTTAAAACCTTTGAAGGCTAATTAAGGCCTTCAGACTTTAAGGATCCACAGGAACCCTGTGAAATATATTGTTCATCTTCATCACAACAGAGTCCACAACACCGCTGAAGCTGCAGCGCTCTGTTCTTCCCTCACTCATTAACAAAACCCAGAGGTACCTGAGCTTCTCCTTTAGAGGCAGAACCTCACCCCAACCCGGAGAAGACAGTCCAGCTGAGGACCCCTGCGTCAGGTTTGGAGGTGTTGATCTTCATCCCAGTGAGAGATGAAGATCACAACAGGACGACACCAACAGAACCCTTAGATCAGTGGTTCCCAGTGGGGCCCTGAAAATATTTCCTGAATTAAGTACACCAAAAATGACTTTTTTTTGCATTTGTTGCAACAAAAATTGTAAGATTAGTGTACTTAAAATGGACAAAACTACTGTAAAAATTAATGTTTTATGCTCTTGTTTATTTGTGAAAACAATATTTATCAGTCGACAACAGGTGGGGGCTCAGGGCTCTGCTGCTTTTACTTTGTGGGTCAAAATCTAAAAAGTTTAATTTAAACTGTTGGAGTTTGGTTTCTGACTGAAAGAAATCTGCTTTTAACTTTTGTTCCTTTTCCTCCACCCAGAAAGGCCGAGTTATGACATCATCTGTATTTCTATGTCTGTTTTAAAAAACCTGAGTGTTTAGATGAAAATGAAAGGTTAGAAATTTAATCAATAAAGTTTTATCTTATCTTATAACCTGAAGGTTTCATTGAACAATTCCACAAAAAAGGAAATCAGAGTGAACATCCTGAAAGAGAGAAAAGGTTCAGAGTTTCAGACTGAGAAGGAGAAATGATCAAACTCAATATGTTGGTTTGCAACATCATCGACTAAGTTAATAAATCTGTTCAAAAGTCTGCTCTTTTTTATTAAAACCAAATTTCATCAAAGAGCAGTTTATCACACAAAACTCTTCAATAATGCTTTATTGAAACAGGTGACCCAAACACAGCCTGGTATAAGTAGAACCACTGATCTTTAACTAACTCTTCTTTACCCTTAACCTCTTTAACTAACCCTTCTTTACCTTTAACTAACCCTTCTTTACCCTTAACCTCTTTAACTAACCCTTCTTTACCCTTANACTAACCCTTCTTTACCCTTAACCTCTTTAACTAACCCTTCTTTACCCTTAACCTCTTTAACTAACCCTTCTTTACCTTTAACTAACCCTTCTTTCATTTTTCTCTAAACCCTTTAACTAACCATTCACTAAAATTTCTTTAACATATAACTAACCCCTTTAACTGACTCGTTTCTACCCTTTAACTAGCATATTAATCTGGTGATGTTAGCCGGTTTTAAGAGCTAACCTTTACCAACATGTAGCCTGCACTCATTTAAAGATTATATTTAATTGTTCTTTAACTACATCAGTAAACATCATATTTACAGAACATAAAATCCTGTTTTCAACCCGCTGATAGATCGATGGCAGATAAAATCCTCTGTAATTCACTCGAAGACAGACAGAATCGGCTAAATGTCAAATCGCGTTAACACCCTGATAGTTTGACATTATATTATAAAAGTTAGAATTTAAAATGCTGGGTTTGTATTCGACAAAAAACATATTAGAATCGCAAATATTTTTGACCTACCTTTTCTTCACCAGCGGCTCCGCAGCTCCGCCATCAGCCGATGCTAACAGGCTATCTTCTGTTAGCTGCTAAGCTAGCTCGGCCAAAAAACGGGAAACGCGGCCGCTAACGAACCATTAAGTTTGACGGAAACATCCGCGTCTCACGGCACTTCTGCTGAGCACCGGTCGTTGAACTCAACGACTAACATTCATTTTTAGAAAGGAGAACCCTAAACCCGAGATTTGTTCTGAGGCTTTGGACCGATGTTTGATTAGCTACCCGAAGACACTCGGCTGCTGCATAACCAGCTAGCTGCTAACAAGCGGCTAACGCAGGCTTATCAGCAGAGCGCCGAGTGACACCGTCCTAAACATGGGGATTATTTTGTATTAAAACATCCACACAAAGTGTAAAACATCTACTTTTGGTGATAAAAGATTATGTGTTAATTTTTCTTAGATAATAATATAAAACTCGTAGAAAAATCTAATTTCACCATCAAAAATTTGATCTTGAATCGACTACAAAGCCTGGAAATTTGTTTAAATGGTTTCAAAAATATCAGCTGTTGTAGTTTTCATGACTTAAAATCAATCTTTTTCTGCTAAAGATAAAATAAAATAATACTTTAACTGCTTTTAGTGTAATATTTATTATTACAATCAGAAAATACATAACTGGATTGTATGTTAAAAACATTTTCACAAAATGTTTCCAAATTTTAAACAATTTTCTTTAATATGTCTTTTTTCCTGTAAATAAGAGCTGTGCTTTTTAAAACGTGTGTGAAAATGTCTGAAAGTTAACTTAGACCAAAACCAGAAATAACGTTACAAAAACAATCTACATACAGTCTTTTTTCAGTGCATTCTGGGTCAGTAAGGTTAGTGATTTCTCTGACAGAACCAGAGCAAAGACAGTGATTTCTGCTGGAAACTGGACAGAAAGCTTCAGGGCAGGACTCCCTCCTGCAGGACTGATCTGTGACAGACCTGGAGGCTGAATGATGAAGATGATTTGTTTTTATTTACAGAATTCACGCTGGCAGAAAACACAAAGGAGCTGAAACTAACAGAACTGACTGGTTTATGATCCTGACAACTTTCTCTTGAAATAATTTAAACATTAGTTACAACATTTGTGTCTTCTCAGAAGTGGTGATGATTCACTGACAACACTAAAGTCAGAATCTCACAGGGCTCCTTTAGAACAGCTAGTACTTTAATTATAAATAAAGCTAATATTAAACCCACAGAAACACATTTTGGACTCAGGAGAACCACGGCCCAGTCCTTAGTCCTCGGCGATCTGTCAGATGATGGTCCTCATAACAATATAAAAACAGGTGAAGCAGCAGGCGACGTCCTCAGAAGTTCTCTTTGTAGAATTTGAAGCCAAAGTTTTCACACTGAGCCTTGATGGCTTTGGCCAGAGACGGAGCGCCGCAGTAAAACACATGAACCTTCCCTTTATTCTCCTCAGATAGTTTCTGAAACACCTGGAAGACAGACAGACACACACACACACACACACACACACACACACACACACACACACACACACACACACAC